TTCCTCGCAGCAGCACATTGCACACCTGTTTGGTATTGGGATACCTCTCCGTTGTAGGTGATCTACCGTGAGGGCTCTTTCCAAGCCTGCTAACCAGTTAAAAGCCTGCACCTTCGGTGGGGCAACGGAGGACCACACCTTGAGGACGACAGAAGAAGGGGAAGGAGTGGCGGCAGCAGCAAGATCTTGTAAAAAGAAGAGACGGAGAATAGTCCTGCAGACAAGGGAGTCCAGATGATTCTATCAGCCCCAGAATAGGCCAAGAAGGTGGAGTGAAGTAAGGATGCCAACGAAGTGAATTCCAGGAATTCGGGGTCCAAAAGGGACCGTCTGAAACGAGGGTTCCAAACCCTTGGGCTCCCTAAGGCTGGGAGCTCTTCAGCTATGGAGGACAATGGATTGGAGGCCAGAGAGAATAATAAGGGGAACCAATCCCTCAAGGGGGTGTGACCTAGCCAAATGTCAGACCAGAAATTAATGCTGTGACCACTCCTCCGGTGAAACCAAATATTCTGCTGAAAAGCAATCAAGGCCGTAGAGAAAGATTTTCAAGCCCCCGAGGTTCTGGTGGGTCTTCTGCCCTCCGGCAGCCAAGCATTCTGTGGGATACGATATTTAGAACAAATCACATTAGCCCAAAGAAGATTGTTATGGTTCGCTAGACGCCACCACCATTTGCCGAGCAGAGCAGTATTCTGTTTTCTCAAAGATCTAATCCCTAGTCCTCCAAAATGTTTGGGTTGGCAGACTTTCAGCCAAGAGACAAGGAGAAACTTAGTAGAATCAGAGCAGCCTGACCAGAGGAAATTTCTCATAAGCTGTTCGAGGTGATAGGCCACTACTGCCGGCATGTGGAATAGAGACATAAGGTACACCGGAGTGTTTGACAAAGTAGCCTTTATCAGTGTAGTCCTGCCTGCGAATGATAGGAATCTGCCTTTTCACCCAGCCAGACGTCGGTCTACTCTATCTATATCATGAGACCACTATCCCTTTTTGGGTTTCCAAATACCCAATGGCATCCCTAGGTAGGCAGTATGTAGGTCTTCGACTTTGCACTGCCAAAGGGGGATGAGTTCTCTGGTTTCAGAGGGGGAAAGAGCGACCCCAATCATGGTAGACTCCCCATATTAACCTTGAAGCCAGTGGCGTATTCAAAACACTTTAGGAAGCGTAAGTTCTCAATTTCGAGAGGTACAGCATCCATGAACAACAGCATGTCATCTGCATACTGTAGATGAGTAACCGTAGGGCCTCTAGGACTGCTCTTGAAGCCTGAAAGAAGGTGGGACTGGTACATGCGTGAGACAGAGCAGCTGAAGACCTCAGTCGAAATTGCGAAGAGGAAAGGGGACAAGGAGTCCCCTTGCCTAAGACCCCTTGAGGGAGAGAAGAAACCTCTTGGTGTACCATTAATGAGCACGGAGAAGAAGGTATGGGCGAAACAGCCCCTCATCCAGTTTCTCCAACGGGTCCGTCCCAAATCCCATCCTAGCCATTGTTTCATCCAAAATGGCCAGTCGACGTGGTCATAGGCCTTTTCCCAGTCGATCTTAAAGATGAGGCCAGGTTTTTTGGTAAGGGGTCTGGAGTGGATGCACTCTTGAGCGACGAGGAACCCATTGAGGATCTGCCTTTCTTTAATGAAAGCGCTCTGATTCAAGGATATCACGAAGGGTAGCACCTCTTTAATCCTAGTGGCCAGCACTTTGGACAGAATTTCATACGTTGAATTGAGCAAGCCGATTGATCTGAAACCCTTGAGTTCCTTAGCCCCTTCAACCTTGGGAACTAAGGCGATGAAAGTGCCATTTATCGCTTTGTGGACCCCCTCCAGGCCTGGGGCTTTGTCTTTGCCCAGGTCTGAAATGGCTTCCAAGATCTCCTGCTCCGTGAAGGGTCTTTCCAACCACTGGGACCAGTGATTAGGTAAGGTAGGGAATTGGAGGTCCCCCATCCTGGGCCTCAGTTCAGAAGGGACTGAATAGAGCGATTGATAGAAGGAAAGAATAGCTTCTTCGATATCAGCAGGTTGGTCTAGGACAGAATTTTCCACCTTGAGCGTCGAGATGGAGTTCTCTCTACGCCAGCAATTAGCTATTTTGTGGAAATATCCAGTGTTGTGGTCACCAAGGCGCAGCCATTTGATCTAGAGCGCTGAAACCAGAAGATCTCTTCTTTGTTTAGGGTAGAGAAATAATCAAGTTTGAGTTGGGTCCTGAGGTTGGACTCAGCGGTAGAGAGGGGTTGGAACTCTTCTGACAGGTCTAGGTCTTGAATGGCCGACGGAAGGAAGGTTTTGGTTTGACTGAAGTTCCTAGGGATAGTTCTGCTCCAGTTTCTGAAGTCAACTTTCAGAAGTTGAAGTTTCCTTTTGAGGATAAACCCTGCCCTACCCGAGACTAATGGTGAGAAAGAGTCCCACCATTGAGGGATAAGAGAGGACAGAGAAGGCTCTTCCAGCCATGCCAGCTCAAAACGGAATGGTTTCAGGTCCCTGTGAGCTGAGTGTGTTTGGAGTAGAATAGGGCAATAGTCTGAAGTCGGTTTAGGGAGAGCCATTGCATGGGACCCTGGGAAGGTATCATCCCATTGCAGAGAGGTTAGGAATCTATCGAGTTTGAATAGGGTGGGTTGGGAAGAATGATCAGACCACGTGAACAGGTTGTCCTGTAAAGGGATGTCAAGAAGTTCATTATGTGAGATGAAGTCTGAGAAATCGAGCATTCCTTCTGAGATATTAGAGTTGTTGTTGCGCTCAAAAGACCACCTTGTGATGTTGAAGTCTCCTCCAAGGCACCACGCCTGGTGGGGGAGATTGGCAACAAGATCCAGTTCTTCCTAGATTACTCACCTGGACCAAGTGGGAAGGTATCAGCCACAGTGGCCTGGGGGTCCTAGGCTAGGCGTGAGAGATGAGGAACTAGATTACTCACCATATATTGGCCAATCCACAGGTCTTGCCAGAAGCATAAGTGGAGCCGTGGATGAAAGCAAATGTTAGAGAGGAAGGAGTCCCAGCTGCAAAGGATGGACCTCCATAAGCCTGAGATTCTTCCTGTGGTTCTACAAGGAGGAATCCGATCTGCGCTGCCAAAACAGTATTTGTTGCCTATGACCTGCCTCCAGAGGTGGTCGGGTTGGGTAGCGTTACGCCGCCACCATTTACTTAACAGGGCAGTGTTTATGGGCCAAAAATCACAGCCTTTCGAAACACTTCTTCCACTCCAACCTCCTTAACTGGACAGCATTGCTGCATACCAGACCTGTACGCATTCCCTGGTCTTCCCTATGGAGACCTCCTGACCCCAGGCATATCAGATTCAACTTAGATAGTTGCTCTCTTGGAAACCCAGGCCCAGCCGGCATTGAAGGCATGTTTAGAGACATGCAGGAATGAAGCAGCGCTCCTTTTCCAAGTCCATTGGTCACTCAGACTCCAACACTGCCGAAACCCTCTCCCTCCTAAGGGCCTCAAGCTTTTTGACCCCTGCTGGGGTGCTTCCTTGATCGTCGAAGGCGACTCCAAAAATGTCCCATATGCCCATGGAGACTGGCTAACTTCTTCAACAAAAGTTTGCACCTAAGCGCAAACCTGTCCATCGCTTGGAGACAAATCTGGCAAGAGTCAAACTCAGCAGCAGATACTTTGGCCAGAGGAGGGGCCAATTCTGCCATGCCCCGCTAGGAACCAGTGCTGCACCTTTTTAAGAGCTGGACCCTTTTTTGTATACTCGATAGATAGTTCTGTGATACTGCATTTCCTTGTATATTCCCTCTTTAATTGGCCCCTTGAAGCCTGCCCCAACTTGGGGAGGTTATTTTTTGTACACAATACTTTATTTTAATACGAAGTTAATTGATTCCCAAAAAACAAAAACAAATAACTTGACAATGTTTGCCCCCATTATCTGTAACCACAATCTTAACATGAATTGCAGAACCAACCATGCAAAAATAAAATCAGTAGCACTATCCCAAACAAAGAAAGAAGAAGAAGAAAACTGCAGAATCCTGGAGGTACAAGGAACACTGAAATGTCAAAAGAAGTAAAGACAATAGGTAAAAGCCCAATGAAAGAGGACTCGTAGAAGAAATAACAGCCACTAAACTAATATGTTTCCCATGTTAATATAGGCTGCTCAAAGAAGTTTCCAAAATGAAAAGTGTGGACAGAAAGAAGACTTGTAAGTAACATGCAGATTGATTTAATTCCTTGGATCATTTACTCTCATAAATGGACAAGTGGCTACAATATTGATGACATGAATGTGTATACAATAATGAAGTAATTTTTAAAGATAAAATTGTCCAGACATTTTATTGATTGTGAATGCAAACCTAATATTCTGTCATGAACTTATTGTTCCTGACAAATAGAGGCATGCGTAACTGTAACCATAAGGAGGAACAATAAGTGCATGACTATTGCTTTTGCTATATTATTCAACAAATCCTGAGAAATGGTACAATTGAGATACCAATTTTGGGGGCTTTGCCTATGGAATGTCTATATGAATAGCATCAATGTCATTGGGAGCTTCAGTCTAAGTCCCATATGCAAAAGATCTCCAAGCTCATTGAAGTAGGAAAGCTGCCACAACACAAAGTTACTGCAAAGGAATAAAGCACTACTAGTTTACAATTTCCATGCACTAAATGTGGAACAATTACTTAAAAAGGATGCATATCTGGCCCCATTGAGTTCTCAGAACTCATAATAAACTGCTGCTATGATAGTGTATCAGTAATTTATAACTTCCAGCAGCTTTTAGAACTGAATGTATCAAACAATTATGCAGGCATGACATTGCTAAAAGACATTCAAATATATTAGTGACTTATCTATTTTAAAGTTATATATGTTAAAGTACATAATCATGAGATGCACATCAAAGGAACAATAAAAAAAAGGTGATGCAAAGTTCTTCGCTATTAAATGTCAAAAAGAAAAAGTGATTCACATCAGAGGCTGCATCTAAACCTAATAGACACATGGGTGCAAAAGGAAGAGACAATGCCATTGAGATAGAGCAACCAAAAAAAAACCACCTGAGAATTGGTACAATTGAGATACCAATCTGCATTCTTCTGCAGATTTTACATTTCCTCTGAGGAAACCATGAGGAAAAATGGTTACTGTATATTACAGGAGGATTTCATCTTTCTTTTACAATACATACAACTCAGAACCGCACCTGAGGATGCTAAAAAATGGACTAAATAGGAAGCTAAAAAAAAAAAACTCTGCCCTCTCTAGTGTAAAAATCAAATGTGTAAATGACTTAAATAGCCGAACAACTCTTGCTAGCATGTTGGGGGCTGAAGTTGTTTCAACCGTTGAACAACTTGCTTCATCGAAGGCCTAACCGACAAGGACTCAAAAGTACACATAACGGCCAGGTGGAGAGTCTCAACCAAATCATCATGAGGCCCCACATCCCAAAGGCCAGCAGTGAAAACTTCCCTTGCCTGTCCCTGCCTTAGAAGCATACACGCCCACTGAACGATATTGAAACCGTTTCCATATGATGAGAATGAGGGATCTAAGGCTTTCTTATCAGATAACAACTCCAAGAGAACCACGCCATAACTATACACATCTGCCTTGTCAGATACACGGCAGGTCATTGCATACTCAGGAGCAACATACCCAAAAGTCCCTGCCACATCAGTGGTTGCATGGGTTTCTGAAGTACCCAAAAGCCTAGCCAACCCAAAGTCTGAAAGATAAGCATTGTAATTATTGTCCAACAAGATATTACTCGGCTTAATGTCACGATGAAGGACCCTAGGAACGCATTCATCATGTAGATAAGCCAGGGCTCGAGCAATATCCAGAGCAATCTTATGAAGCATCCTCCAGTCCACAGTTCTTTTAGACCTCTCCTGAATAAATTTCTCCAAGTTGCCCCCGGGTAAATAATTATATATGAGAAACATCTCAGTTTCACTAGCGTGATACCCAATCAGGGTAACAAGATTGGGATGGCGCACTCTTCCAAGTGTTTTGATCTCGGCATCAAATTGTTGGACCCCCTGAAACCGGCCAACAGAGAGCCTCTTAATTGCTACTAAAGTTCCTGGTGCCATCTCAGCCTTGTAAGTGGCCCCGAAACCTCCATTGCCAATGCAATTGCGAGCATTGAAGCCCCCTGTAGCCCTTACCACGCTCTCAAAAGTAAGGGAAACCCCAATATTTGAGAAAGTTATAACCTCTCTCCTTCCCGAGCCTTGGCCACTCGAGCGAGGAATGCATTTCCTCGTGTATACAAAGAGAAAAATCAGGGCAAGAAGAACAGAAACTATGAGAGATGCCGAGGTAATTGAGGCAATCTCGATGGGGTTAAACCCACTATTCTTTCGAGACACGCTCTCTGATGGAGAATAAGCGTACTGTGTGTTAGACCCACTTTGCCCCTGCTGCTCTGTAGAGGGTCCTGACTGCGATGCAAGGTGACAAGACTCAAGAAGCAATGGGTTCCCAAGCACACTATCACACCTCACTGATGTCACATTCCGGGGTATCGGCCCAGATAAGTTATTGAATGAAACATTAAATACAGATAGTGAAGTCATTTTGGAAAAGCTTGAAGGAATTTGCCCGGAAAGCTTGTTGTTGTCAAGTAAAATAGAAGTCAGGTTCTTCAAACCTGCAAATCCATCTGGAATCTTGCCTGTCAGGAAGTTTGAGGATAGTTCCAAAACTTGAAGAGAAGGCAATTGAGCCAATCCTGAAGGAATGCCTCCTGTCAAGGTGTTTCCTGCCAATGAAAGATACCGCAAGTTCTTGAGTTGGCCAAATTGCATAGGTATCTGACCAGACAAAAGGTTTCTACTCAAATCAAGACTTTCAAGAGACAGCAAATTCCCAAAACTCGGTGGCAAAAAACCCACAATTCTATTCTCAGATACATCCAACTGCTTCATTGATATGCAACCATTACTTGCCACCTCAGGAAGCTCGCCTGATATGCTATTTCTACTGAGATTGAGAATCATACCAGACAAAATGTCGCAGGTTTCAAACACATAACCAGGCAGCTTGCCACTGATATTATTTCCACTTGCCAAGAAAGCATACAGAGGGTCCATTTCCAATCTCACAGGTGCAACGATTGGTAGCAAAGGGACTGAACCCGTGAAATTGTTCCAACTGAAATCGTGAAAGATGGGAAGATTATCCGTTTCCAAATAAGGCATTGATGAGCCAGAACGAGCATTGCAGGCAAAGAAGGACATGTAAACTGATGAATAATCCCACTGACCATACAACCCATTTGAAGGCAGCTGCCCTTGCTTTTCAACAACAAAAGAAGGAATCGGCGGGCACCCAGTTTCCAAAAACTTGGGAATATCACCTGACAAAGAGTTCCCACTGACATTGAAAAGGCCCATACAAGGCACCAGTAGTTTCTCAGTAAGCACCCCAGTAAGCTTATTAGAACTCAAGTCGAAATAATACATGTCCTTGCATTCATGGAAAGAGTAGGGGAACTCTCCATTGAAAAAATTCCCACCTAAATTAATCATTTGCAAGCTCTTGCAAGCACCCCAATACTTGGGCAGAGGACCATCTAAAGTTGCCTTTGGTGCCCAAATTATCCGAATCATGGAAAGGTTCGCCAAACTATCAGGAATCCCACCCTCAAAATAATTAAACTCTCCTTTATCATCACTAGAAAACCCACTAAATGAATCCATAAGAGAATGTTCTTTTCCAAACATTTGAGGGTCATACTCATTAGAGAGTATGAGCACTGATAAATTTTTACAATTCCCTAAGTCACTTGGTATATGCCCACTCAAACTATTCCTTGAAATATCAAGTACTTCAAGAGCAGAAAGCCGACCAAGATCAGGAGGAATCCCACCATCCAAAATGTTTGACGAAAGCAATAAAGATCTCAATCTGCTGCAATTTCCAAAATTCGAAGGAATCCCGCCTGTAAAATAATTACCCATCAAATGCAAATGCTCCAGAAACTCACAATTATTACCGATATCACCAGAAATGGAGCCTGAAAGCTGGTTAAATGAGAGAAAGACACCTCTAAGGTTTGAAAACTTCCCCAAAAAGTCGGGTAAAGTTCCATTAAGCAGGTTTCCAGCTAAGTTCAGTATCTGCAAATTAGGGCAACCTGAAAGGGAAGCTGGGATCGAGCCAGTGAACCGATTGTAGCCAAGATTAACCACACGAAGTGAGCTCAGAAGCCCCAATTCCATGGGCAAATTCCCAGAAAGTGAATTCCCCTCAAGTTCAAGCTCTTCCAAGAGTTTCAGGCTGCCAATCTCTCTAGGAACTTCTCCATAAAGATCATTAAAAGGCAATGACAATACCCTAAGCCAAGTCAAGTTACCCAATGATCCAGGCAATTGTGCCCTAATTTTACAACTGGACCCATTTCCAGAAACGCTTTCACTATTACAGTTGCAGCCACCATGAGAAGCAAGCGAAAACGCTAGAAATCCATTACAGGAAGCAGAGCTAGAGTTACCTTTAAAACAGTCACTCCCAGCTATGCGGATTGCCGAAACCCTAAACTTAGTCGAGTCACAGGTGATCCCAGTCCAAGAGCACGGATCTGGGTCATTAGGGTTCCAATTTGATAGAAAGCCAGAAGAACCAGGTGCCACATAGGCCTTGAAGTCAAGAAGAGCAGCCATGTCCTCCTTGTACCCAGCAACCCCAGCGGAAAGCCATGGCTGAAGCAGAAGAGCGAGAATTAGGGTTTGGAAGAGGGTTAGGGTTTTGCTAAGCCGCCATCGCCACGGAAAACCAGGAGAGAGCTTCACCGGAAGAAGCATTGCTCTGTGGTTTCTTTCTCTTTTCGAGTTCGTCTTTTTACCTTATGTAGATCGGAGAAAACCCAAACCCTAACCCTAACCTAGACCAAGCATTTGAGACAGAGAGAGAGAGAGGAGACTGACTGAGGAGAGAGAATGGGAGAGAAAAGTCTGAATGTAGAGAGAGAATGAAAAGAGCTAGAGGGAATGAACGAGGAGCAAATGTCGAGAGAAAATTAGAGAGAGAGAGAGAGAAAGGGTCATAGTCTGAGACGCGTTTTTCTCTCTTTCCACTATCTTCACATAGTGGGGACCACCGGAGCAGCCGGTGAGCACTTGTACGGATACGGAAAACTCACCGGCAACAGCCGGTGGGTTCGAAGGGGCTTCCGGTTTCCCCAATAGGGAGAGAGATTCGTCGTACGGAACCGCGTATAAGGGACACGTGTTGGTGTCCGATGAAGCCTGTTGACGTGGTGTCCGCCTCCTCATAAAAGTTTGAATAATTAGCAATTAAAATATTATTGGAAAGTAAATTAAAAATATTGATACTAATTTAATTAGTTGGAACGTGGTATTTATTGGGTCCTTATTTATTTATTATTGTGCAAGGCAATTCTATTGGAATGGGAGAACTTGTTTCCTTTCTCTAAAATAAAGAATTTTGTGTTTTTTAAAAATTATGTTCAATACATTTTGTGTTTTAAAAAATTATGTTTAATATTCAATAATATAAGCATGGAATAGATGCATGTGAAAATGTCATTTGAATAATGATGGAAACACCTCAAAAATATGGACTCGGTTAAATCAACAATGTTATCAATGAAGTGGTTGCTTTTAAAACTTCTTTTATTTAAGGACCTCAAGTCTTTTGTTAAGATTGCCCTTGTTATATGCTTGTAATGTCAAGGTAGCATGGGCGACTTAAGTCACTTGAATTAACTTTGAATATATTTATTATTTAAAAGAAAAAAATTATATACTAAAATAAATAATGGACAATATTGCGATAGTACTTCTACAAGTAAAGTTGTCACTAGCAGTGGCAATGGACTCGGGACTTGAGGAGTAAACCCGAATCGGGTCCGGGTATTGATTCAAAATTTGAAGCCGGCAAGTGAGGTCCATGACCAAGTATTTAAACAATATTTACTACATGATATTTAAACAATATTTAAGTAAATTTAACTATATATTGTAGTTATAACATTTAAAATATATGTATTTTGATTATCTGTCGGATCCAGATTCAGGTCTTGGTACCACATTATATTTTGGGTTTGGGTCTAAATCTAGGTCCAGGTCCGGGTCCCATAATAAGTTTTCCAGGTCAGGGTCTGGGTCCGGGTCTGGGGTCACCTTATTCAAACCTTAAAAAATCTTATTCTAGATTGAAACTTAGAACAAGTGGAAGCATTTTGGCAATTCAACTTCATTTAAATCAGTAAGACATTATTCTTTGCTCGTTTTAGGTTCCAAATATGGAACCGAATTTTAAATGAAAACCCAAAAAAAAATACCTTCATTTTAGATCATACGACCAGTAGCATGTTTGGCCTTAAAAATTAGTCGAGGAGGTACTAAAATGAAATAACTTCTAAAAAGTAACTATTTCTATTGATAAATTGGTTTATAAACCATTGATGTATCTTTTGAGGTAGTTTATCATTTTGTTGATATTTCTCTCTCTCTCTAAACTAGTTAGAATTTTTATAGAGCAAAATGCAATAAACAGATTGGAACCATAACTTTTTGAGATGATCCAATGCTAAAAATAATGTAAAGATATGAAGATAGGAAGTTGGCTTTTTATTGACATTAGGTGCAAAAGCAGTGTAGGATTGTCTCCATATTTGAGCCAAAAGGAGATTATTGTGGTCTCCTTTCCACCAAAACCGGCAATAAAGTCGGCTGTAGATAAACCTCATCTACATTAATAAATATGATGTACTTAAACAAGTTCAACTAAACTGCATGCCCTCTTTTGAGTGTCTCCTAAAAGTGGCACCAACCTTGTTCACCCTTTTTAAGCACCATCTCTCTATCTCATTGTGCAGAGTTATAATGTTGATTTTAAAACACTCCTATAATTAGGCTCCTCCGTGCGTACATACTCAAAGGATGAGTGTAGCTTAAATGAGAATGTTGAGATAGATGAAGGTAAGATAAGAATAAATAGAATTCGTAATAAATATATTTGGGCAGACTTAGTTATAGCTCCAATAAGCCATAAGATGAGAAAAAGTAGACTTAGGTGTACTGGCTATGTACAGCACAAACTTAGCACAACACTTGTTAAGATATACGAGTTGTTTCAAGTGAAAGTCTAAAAAATGTTAACGAATAGGCCAAAAGGATTTGGTTAGAAGTAGTAAAAAACATATATGGAAACTTATAGCCTCACTTAAGGTATGACCTTTAATGGAGCAAAATGACAGATCAAGATTCGTATAACCGACTCCAAATAGTTTCAAAAAAACTGATGAAAATGATTATAATGATGTGCACTTATTGTTTCATTTACTAAGCAGTTATAGAGATTTTGGACACTTTACATGATTAGGCTCGTTCAGACACATCTCTCTCTCTCTCTTGCTATGGGCGTGTTTGTTTTTCTGACTTTCTGATTTTTCAAAAAGTTGTGAATGTGACACACGATTTTATCTAAAAGTTCAAAAAGTAATCTTCCAAAAAAAATTATCATTCCTTTATTAAAACTTGAAAGATTAAATTCTTAGGAGGGATATGAACTTAATCTTTCATAATGTTTTTGTTGATCACTATTCACTATTCATAATATAATATATAATATTAATTTATTAATATGATATAATATAATATAATATAATATTACTCTAACACAATATTATATTATATTATATATTTAATTTATTAATGTATTTTATATTATATAATATATATTAATTATATATTACATGTAATATATAATATTAATATATATTTATATTAGGAAAAGTCTATATAGAGCCGAGGCTCTAAAAAATCAAATTAGAACCGACCTAAAAAATTTCATTAGAAGAGGTTGTTTTGATGCCCAAATATCCTCCAATTGATCATCTTCGCCTCAATATGTATGGACATGAGAAAAAAAATTGATTTTAAGTTTTGGAAATAGTACATCTTATTTTGTATTTTGGGACCATCAATTTTTAAGATTTTTAAAGTTTTATAGATCTGCTCGATCTGCACTATTTTTAAAGATTTAAATTTTATAATTAAAGATAAAAATATATTTTAAGCCTACTACAAAGATTTCCAATATTGAAACCACATTTCTCGACAGCATTTGAATGTGCGCTTTACTTATATTGTTTAGAGCC